TATTACTTTCCAAAAAGTTTTGACAAAACGTTTGAGACCCTATAACTCAATGATTTCACCATGTTGTGTTTGGTAAGGGACAACTTCTAACTAGGATGGAAAATTATGCACATGGTCAACTACATGTGTCAGTCACAACATGAAGGGTTTGAGTAAGGTTTGGAAATTTCTTGTCGGATTCTGAAAACTTCTATCTGAATTAGTATACAGTTTATATACGCAGTTGGATACGATATATGCTTGTGTAATAAGCGAGGAAACTCTTGAGCTCAGCTGAGGAGAGCGAACATATATACCAACAGTGGCTTTTCCATGGCTCCCGGTGCCATATGGTGTAGTAGACATATGTGCCCGATCATGGCTGGTAGAGTTATTACCAGCCACCAGTCGACTTTTACTTTCAGGTAGTTGGCTTTATTATAATGATCGCATCATCCTTTATCGCAGTCCTTGGTATTGTCATCACTGGCGGTTACTCTGGAGATGGTTATGCTAATACACAGCCTTTTCATTAAGTAGTGATTTCGTCGAGGAGCGGTATGAAATACATCCTCCTTCGCAGGCTTCTCCTCCTTAGGCTTGATAATTCCCGCCCTTATGAGCTTGATCAATCTATTGACCTTACGGGCCTCGTCTTGGTCCGGCATGAACGACTTCTTCGTGGGGTATCGAGTCCTCATTGGGTGAATTTTGTCTTCTATACGGTCCTCATACTCAACCTACCATGATTAGCCTTGGTTACTACGCCTAGACACCTCACCACCCTACCTGGAATTCCTCATCCTCATCGCCATCACCACGACCAGTAGGGAAAAAGCCCTTCCGGATACGCCTGAGGTCGGCATTGAATGACAGGCGGCCAGTTGACTACGGCTGATCTCACTGTATGATCCTGAGGTCGGTGTCACTTAGCTTGATCTCCCTATCGTTCTTGATATCAGTGACGGTGCGCCAAGCATCGGGATCCTCAGCCTAACAAGCGACAGCTATGTTAGCACGATGAATCTGACCTCCTCCATACAATGCCTGGGCCCTTACTACCGCTCTCAAGAGAGTATCTATCTCGGAAGTCTTCACAGTGCGTGCAATCTTTTTTCCAGAGATATCATAACCAATATGATCATGGTTGTCGAGATACCACTTCAGCGGTACTTTGCCTATACGGTTCCGAGTATACCTGAGATGATGCAGCTCTTCAATATCCTCCACTTTTGGCCCCTTACTCATCATCAGAGTCGTCCGAATCGTAATCGTCCTCAGTCTCGGAAGATTCCTCCCCTCTGAAAATGACAAGAACAAATAAGCAATCTCTCTACCAGTTAGAGTAATTCGATTCGGGGAGATTCGTCAGCTTTTGAGTCCTCCCCACAGCCTTGATAT